AAGAAAGAAAGAAAGAAAGAAAGAAAGAAAGAAAGAAAGAAAGAAAGGGGAAGGGAAGGGAAGGGAAGGGAAGGAGGGAAAGAGGGAAGGAAGGAACAAAGGAAGGAAAAGAAAGAAGGAAGGAAGGAGGGAAGAAAAGAAAGGAAGGAAGAAAAGAAGGGAGGAAGGAAAGAACAAAAGAAAGATACAAATTCCTATAAAGGTTTTAAGCACACTCAGCCTCACTGCTGCAAAGATAAATGCAAATGATCTCTATGAAACAGATCAAAAATTCCATTTTCTTCATTTAGGGTCAAGCGCCAAGAAAATCAGGAGATCCAGGTAGTTCAAATGGGCCTAAAAAGATTGATTTGCACGCTTAAGCTCTCTACAAGAATCTGAACTACTAACAGCCAAAGGAAATTTGACGGTAGAGAGAGTAGAGGGAATTCATGGGCTGGACTTAAATCACTTGCGGGTGCGAAGGGACTCATGACTCATGATGCATTTGACCCCTCCCTCGGCCTCAGCCTGGTCATCTCCCACATTTAAGTGGGCTGAACAAGGCAGTTTGACTGGCCAGCTAACTGCAAGCGGGGTGGGGGATGGGTGAGCCAGATTCACAGGTGTGTTTTGAAACTCACCTGGAGGTTCTTGGGTGGCCTGAAGTCAAAATAGGTGGTTAGGGCATTATGGGAGACATCCAATTCCAACAGGTAAGGCATGTAACTGATGAAAGAGAGATCTAAAAAAGAAAAAAATGAGAGGAGGGATATAAAAGGAGATACGTGCGACTCAGGCCGGTCTAATTTAAATTCTAGTTTTGGATCTGGATGGCTGTGATGACCCAAAGGGGCGTGGCACAAAGGCAATACAGTCAAATAAGCAAGAAGAGTCCCTTTAATACCTCCAACTTTGCCCCCAATGTCCAGGTTACCTTCAGCTGGAGAAAAACGCTCCCAGGAACAGCCTTTAAGTGGAGGAAATTCAGTCCAAAACAAAATACATACAGACTGTAACTAAAAATCCAAACAAATCAAGCTGCAGTAATTAACTTGATAGGGCAGAAGGAATTTCAGACTTGAAAGGCAAGCAAAACACACACAGTTGGGAAGATGCCAGGAACACAGATAAGCCTAATACCAGATAATTCACGATTTGCTCCCAACAATTTGCTGTGCGCAGCTTCCCTTTTTAAACACTGTGTTCCCAGCTGCAGCTAATGAAGGGAATCAGGGCCCTTTCCTCCACCATAAGCCATGCAACCCACGTTGCTCCCTTCCCCGTTCCTCCCTGCATGCCCTAGGATGAAGAGGGGGTGGGCCTGGGTCTTCCTCCGAATTCCCTCTGCCTTGCTCTACCTCTCCCCTGCTCTGCCCAGTCGGACTTTGCCCTTCCCCAGTTTCCTACACAGCCAATGGAGCCGCACTCCCACTCCCTGTCGGCTGTTCAGCTTCCTTCTCTGAATCAGATTCCAACAGGGGCAGGACACTGGCCTTTGAATGCTGCATGGAAATATCCAAGCCGTTCTGTCCAGGTAGTCCTCGACTTACGGATACAATGGAGCCCGAAATTCCTGCGGCTAAGCAAAGCGTTTGATAAGTGAGTTTTGCCCCACGTTTAACAACCGTCCTTGCCACAGTTAGCAGCCTGGTTGTTAAGTGAATCTGGCTTCCTCCCCCCACCCCCCCCAGTTGTCTTTGCTGGACAGCTGGTCACAAAAGGGGTTTGTGTAACCCCCCCCCCCCCCGCCTGGGACAAAGCAACCATCGTAAATATGAGTCGGCGGCCAAGCGCCTGACTGTTGATCCCGTGACTGCGGGGAGGCTGCAAGGGGTTCTAAAGTGTGAAACCTGGTCATCGTCGGTCCCTTTTCCCCCCCGTGCCGTTGTAATTTTGAATGGTCGCTCAGTGAACAGTCGTAAGTCAAGGACTACCTGTAACAACGGCCGACCATTTTCGAGGGCAAGAGTAGCCGTGGAGCTCACATACCACTGATTTTATTGTAGGAAAGATCGAGCTTTTCGAGATGAATGTATCTGGAAAGTACGTGGACGTCACTCAAAAGACGGTCCTGCAGGAATAAAGAAGGGAGAGAGAAAGAGAGAGGGAGGGAGGGAGGGGGAGAGAGAGAGAGAGAGAGAGAGAGAGAGAGAGGGAGGGAGGGGAGAGAGAGAGAGAGAGAGAGAGAGAGAGACGGGATCAGATAAGATCTTTTTGGTAGATCTCCTGGAGAATGTCTGCCTGAGACCCACCGAGTTCAAAATCCTGCCCTCCGGGGACAGACCTCTGAATGGTCAGATGGCTCCTTCATCAGGGTCTCAATGGGAGTGCCTAGCCAACATCTAAGTGCTCTAGGGCACTGGTCCCCAACCTTTTTTGTACCAGGGACCAGTTTCACGATTATTCATTCTTTGCGGCCCGGTACAAAATGATCCACGGACCGGTACCGG